CCCTGAAGACTCTTGGTAATTACAGTGTCTGGGAGGAAACAGGCTGACCATTACTGGGTCCCCAAGCCCCATGGCTCAGCTCAACCACTGTCACTCTTCAGAATTCTGAGCAACCTATCCCTGGATTCAGAGTGAGGAGACCATTTTTCCTGTCTTATCTAGAGAGAAGAGAGGGAGAAGACCTTGGTGTGTAAAGGTTCTTTATGCAGCCTGTGTACCCAGTGCCATTTTCACTGTAAGAGTCTGAGCCTTGCAAATCTTCAATACAGAAAAATAAAATCCTTAATTTCCAATGCAGAAAAACAAAATGTGTGCATGTGGGATTCCTCTAGGAGACGGTGGTTTGGACACTTGGGAAATCCAGACTTGGCGGGGTTCCATCCCTCTGGCTCTTGTTCCTTCTGTCTGCCTTTCTACTTTGCTGAGCTGCCTTTGCTAACATGGTGAACATATTTAAACTCACCAGTTTTTAAGTGTGGGTACAAGAAATCTACTTGCCCCGTGTTTTCATGTTTCTCTCTGAATACATAGCCAGCCTCTATATGGATTTGTTTACCCATCATCCATCATCTCAGAGATAGTGCTTTCAACAGTTCTGTGCCTTGTCCAAACTGTGATGCACCACCGTGCTGCCGTATTGAGAGGCTCCACTGGGGGAAGAACCTGGAGCTTCCCAAAATTTTCTTTCCCCTTTGGGTTTAACACTTCATCTCAGAGCATCCCCGCCCCAGCCATAGCATCAGCTCTAGCCCCTTTCCCAGTATCTTTGCCATCTGTAGAAGAGACCCAGCACGGGATTCTTTTTGCAACATGAACCTGCCTGACGTTCTCTGTCATCTACACCTCTGGCTCTCCTGCTTGTCTCTTTGATACTTTATGTTGCTATCACTGCTTCCAAATACTTTGAGCACCCAAAGTTAAAATCATCATACAAGGTAAAAGAGAAGGCATTGTGTCTGAATTCTTGACACATGTCATTTTAGCACATGATACCAACAGCAGAAACAGAATTGGGAATCATATTTTCTAGTTATAAATTAAATATTCAAGGCTGGAGTTCCCCTGGAAAGCTCAGATATTTGGCTGTCACCCATTTCTACCAGTAATGAAAAAGTACAGAGCATATTTCCCCTAAGCCTATATAGTCCAGTTTGACCCTCAGAATCTGACAGGTTGGTTTTCTGACCAGGGATGAAATACTTACTGGGTTTAATGGTGAGTCTGGTTCCAGCCCCAAAAGTTAATTTCTCATTTCCATAGTTAGACACAGTGTGCCATGTCACTACAAAAACCACTGTGCCAGCTCTCCAGATGCAAGCCCTCACCTTATTCGTGTGAGCCCACACTCTGCATTACCGCCACACCATCAAAACCACCGGTAACCTTTTCCCAACAGTTCTTGCTGCATTAACTGAGAGAAACTAAGATAAAGGTATCATTAGGAGAGGCTTGGCAGGTGGCTTTCTGCCAGATTTGTCTTTAGAGAGGGCAGGAATCCCCTGTGTCTATCTGGGTGGTATCAATGCTTTGCCTTAGGTCTAAACTCTGGGAGAAGTCGGGACACGCCTGCCATCAGTTTCATCCTCTCACACCACCCCATGTTTTAGTTTTCCGTGAAGTGTCCTCTCGCCCTCCTCTGGCCTCTGTCCCTTTTCTCTCAGGTGAGTCATCCCTTCAACCTCTGCTCCTGAGGCTTGTGCCTCAGGAACTGACTTCTCTGAACTGTGCAGTCTTGAGGAGTGAGCGAGAGGGGAGGCCACTCCTGCAAGCATCTGTGTCTGTCCTCCTCTCTACAGGAATTTCAAGGCAGGACAGTTAAGACCTGTCCTGGCAAGAATCATTCTTGGGATAAGGGAAGGGGCTCTTGCTATGTTCTAGGAGAGGTTCTACCTAGGAGTAGAGAACCCGAGTGGCAGACTTGATAGTTCTTTCTGTAATTTCAAGATTTTACACAATGGTGATAAACATTCTATGACTTACTTGGAACAACAGTCAAACTTGTTCCTTTCCCAAAATAGAGCTTCTGGTTACCGGTGTTCCACTGTGGTAGGAAGCTCAACAAAAACCAGGCAGGAGGGAGAGCTAGCGTTTCCACCTGGACCCCCCCTTGTGGGCAGGCGGCGGACATGCAGGCTGTCAAAGCCTATGTAAACTCCCACCTAGGCAAGGATATCAGGAGGAGGAAGCTCCAGGGCTTCAGGCAGATGTGACCATGTGCAGCTGGAGGAATGGCTGCCTCCTGAGAGGGGATTAAGAGCTAATGTGCATCTTGTGTGGCTCGCTGTTTAATTTAAGGTGTAGGCTATTTGTTTCATGCTTGGGCACCTAAGTTCTTTTTCTTTTAAGACTTAATTTCTCTCCTGATGCTTATATGATTCTGAAATGCCATTTTAACAAGGATTCCTTATGACATCATTTGACTCTGGGAATGATTTTATTTCTTTATGAAACTTCTGGAACAATTCACTCTATGTTAAGCCAGACTGAGGCTCTGACCACTTTGCTGCCTCCCACCCCACCCCATTTCTTAGACCCCTCAGTTATTCTGTATCCACCATTCTCTCCACCTTACCTGTCCCCAACCATGTGCTGGTAGACACAGAGGTGGTTTTTTGATCACTTTCAAGTCCCATACTCTCTGTGCTGCCTTTTAAGTCCAAAACCCACATTTACCAGTCTTTGTCCTGTTTTTCTGATCAAAGTTAATGTATCTCAATTCCTTCAACTGTGTCCTTACCCATTTTGCAACCTACACAGCCACTGAGCCCCACGTTGGTGACTACCAACCTCACCGAACTCCACAGGCAACGCGAAAACTTACTTGGAATGACTGATAAGTGTGTCCCCCGCCCAAGCACCAGTTTGCTGTAGGAGGTGTTACACAGTAAACCAACCCTTTACAATAACTGCCTGGGGACTCTTAGAGAGTGAAGATCCCAGTCTTCCTTGATGCAAATTCAAAAGGCATCTCAGGTAGTGTTCAGTATTACCTGGGGGATCGAACTAGGAGCCACAGTTAGGACAGATTCTGTTGGGGAGAACAGGAAACTTGCTAGGAGCGTGCAGTTCTCTTTTCAAAGACATCACCGAGCTCCCTGTCTCTTTCTCCCATCCTGCCTGTTCCTCCACCCATACAGCGTCCCGGTCCTCTGCATCTCATTTCCATTTCCAAGCTAGCTCGGTGATACCATCCTCAGGCATCATTGATCTGTCTTCTGAGACAGCACATGTTCACCAGCACATTGTGATTAAAGGACTAGAAATGCCAGGCTCTCAGAAGCTGAGATCTGGGCTCCCCACACCTTACCTCTGGTCAATATGTTGTTCTCATTTGTCTGGCTAATGAAGAGCTGACCTTTCTAAGTGGATGCGTTTTCCTGAAATGACAACTGCCAGAGAGCTAACAACAAAGGCCAAGCTCTGGAGGCACTCTTGGCCTTTCAGACACCTCTGCCATATTTCAGTCAATTGGATCCTGAGCTAAAATGTCAAGCTCTTGGTGTTGGCACTCACACTACCCGGCTTGGGGAAACGCAACAAAAAATGAGCAATATTGGTCCAACCTGTGCCCTGCTCATTAGAATCAGACTTTTCTCCATGGTATCTTGCATATTTGAGACATTATAACGGCCAAGCATTGAGCCTGAGAGCCACACCGGCAGAGTCTAGTTCCTTCCCCATCTGCTGTGAATTTGTGCTACTGACAGATAAAGACTGATGTCAGAGCCTCCTCCACACACCCAGAACCCATACTGTGCTCTCCGCCTCAGCAAAACTGTGCCTGCAGGGGAGAGGCTAGTCCAGCAGCACAGGGTGGGAGCACTCCCTGTGTGAGACACTGCCCTTGGTGGAGATCCCGGGATAACAACCTTCTCTTGATCCTTGTCTCCCAAACCAATCTTACCGAGCTTCTGTGAAATTCATATTTCTGCTTTTTAACGTTTTCCTTTCCTGCCTGCCATTTGTCATTTTCAATCACCCACACTCCTCGAGTTCTAAGCTCGCCTTATCCATGTCCTCTTGACTCCCTTAGGATCACTACAAGAACGATCTGGAAGGCCTGAAGTGGGGGAGGGAACAGAGAAACATCGGGGGGGGGCACTGAGTCTGGCCTCTCCAGTCTGTCTGGCTTCACCATTAGTTGAATCTTTCTCCAAATTCTGGCTTTTCCTCGCTGCAGTGGGGAGTTTTACAACGGATGACAGAAGGAACTTTATGTATCTTTAAAAAATAGTTGTATTTCTTTCTCTTCCCAGTGGGGTGCAGCCACAAACATAGGAGAGCCAAGCCTTCCTATCTGCTCTAATTATCAGCAAGGATGCACGTTACCACAAGGAGAAAAGGTATTAAGCCTTGGATCTGAAGCTCTTTGAAATTAATTGTAATCCTTTGCCTGTGGTTTCGGTGCTAGGGAATGGACACAGTGGCTGCTTTTTTCTGTCCATTATTTCTTTCTTTTTGTGTTTTGCATTTATAGAAGCAGTTGGATATGTGCAGGGAACATAGAGGGATTGGAAATAAGACCTTAGAGTCCGTTCCAGTTTTCAGATTTTCCTTCCCTGCTTTCATTTAAAACCCTTCTGAACATACCTGTTCTAACTCTGTTCTCCATTATCCCTCTCCACTGAGGATGATACCAGTGGACATGACCTCAGCTGTGTCAAGAAGAACTTAAGGTTGATATGGGGAGAACTTTCTGACAGGGAATGCAGCTAAAAGAAACTAAGAGGGGAATCAGTTGGAAGGGGTTCCCCCCCCCAAAAGTAAGGCCCTCACTTCCAGAGGAGGCTCTGAAAGCAGAAAAGATTCTAGCTTTCCAAGGTCAAGATCAGTTTTACTCACAGGAAGTGGGAGAGAACTCAAGACAGGAGAAGACAAAGGACCTTGGACATTAGTTCACTTGAAGCCTGGCTCCCAGACAGCATACAATTATTTTAAACCTGACACCAGGGATGCAATTCCAGAATTCCCACCATGCGGCTCTGTCCTTTTACACTTACTTGGATGGACAATGAGGATGGTCCCTTGCCCAAACGTCAGCTTTCCATAGCCTGAACCTGTGTTAACACTGTGACAGAGGCCTTTACAAGAACCCCAGGTAGATCCCCGAGGCTTATAGATATCTTTCTATTTTAATTTTGGGGAAAATAAACTCACGCAGAAAAGCATAGGCCTGTGAGGCTGTTTCTTTCTCTGAAGGTCAAGGGGCTATTTCTACAGCTGGTGCAGGGACACTGACTAGCGGTGCCCCATGGCCTGCCGCCCACCTCTCCATTTCCTCTGGTTTCATACTGAGGCTTTCTGATTTCTCTTGTTCAGCATCTCTCTTCTAAAGGTCTCATTTCCATTTTACAACATCATTTTCAGGACAATTTCTCTGATCAGTTTTCAAGGCATGTCCTTCCCTCCCCTGGAGGTGTCACACATTCTGATGACAATGAATTGATTACAAGGAGACAGGAGGAGAATGTTCAGCATTTTGGAGGCTGACTAGAATTAGATGAGGTTTAGACTCCAGTCAGCCTCAGGAGACACTGTCTCCTAAGCTTCCTTCTTGCCCTAGCATAGGAGAGGGGAACGATGGGCACACCGAGCTGAACCCTCACACAGCCTGGCTTCCTGTCAGTCTTGAACATGATGAAACACACAGTAGTTTATAAAAAGTTTAATGCTGAGCTTTGTCATGACAGTCAACTATCCTGGGGGCTGTTCTGAGAAGCCCCTCAATCTTGGGAATTTGGGGGGGTTCCCTGGCTAGTCTGATGGATGCCACAAAAAATGTAAAGAGCAAAATTCAAATAGTCTTATTATATGACATGCTAGGGGTCAGATCACACTCCAAAGAGTATGAAAAACATATTTTAGCCCTTTAATTCAATTTGACATTAACTTTTTATTTATTTCTTATTTCTTATTTTATGTGTATAAGAATATTGCCTACATGTATGTAAGTGTACCCATGTCATACAATGCCCACGGAGGTCAGAAGAGGGCATTGAACCCCCTGGAACTAGAGTTACAGATGATTGTTAGCTACCATGTGGGTGCTGGGAATCAAACCCAAGTCCTCTGCAAGAGCAGCTAGTGCTCTTAACTGCTGAGCCATCTCTTCAGCCCCAATGTCAACTTTTTTAAAAGCTGAGTTTATGGTAACTTCTCTAGTCATTTCTTTAAGCAATTACTTGTTAGGAAAAGGTTCTAACATGAAGAAAAGGCTACTACATGGCTAAGAAGTATTAAGGATAGCAATCGGGATTTACATAACCCTTCCCATCTGTTTGCCCCTCCCCCATTAACTTCATAGGACACAGGTAAACAGGATGACAGCTCTCAGCTGAAGTCCTCAAAGTGTGGGAACCAAAGTGTTGCTGGGGCAATAATCTGCACTCTACTGACAGAAGGAAACAGAATTTAATGATGGGTCTCTTGGACTCCAGCTCTGCCTTTAAGTGCCTACACAGAAACTGTATAGGAAAGCTGGCATACAGGTACCGCCCAGAACTCTGGAAGAAGGATGCCTGCGTTGTACACGTATGTTCTTTTCATGCTTAGGCAGTGAAATTCCTGGCATGGCAGCATTTTAAAGTGTGGAGGTTGTTATAACTTGGGGGTGAGCCAACCAAGAGCTCAGAGGGTCTCTTAGTGTCTCTGTATTCTGAAACCTGCCCCAGAACTCTGTCCTAATATATTTCCTGCAAGTCGCTAAAGATAAAACCAACTGCCTGGCACCCAGCCTTGCTTGCCCACCCTGTGGAAAGTGGCTAAGTCCTTGAATCTCTGGGGATGTTCTTATGAATCCCCTGAGCTTTGCTTTGATAAGTCCTGGGAGACTGCTGAATGCATGGGTTTTAACAACGTCATGTTTATTCATCATCTCTTCATTATTCATGTTGCCATGGACCTGCTGATTTTGCCCTGCTAAGCAAGGCACTTCTGCATGTGAGAAAGTCAGAGCTAACCGCAAGGTGTGCCCTTCAGGCTGGGCTTCTCCCCAGAACGTGGTGAGCCATGTGCCACAGGCTGAGTTGACTCCTCACTGCTGCAGGTACCCTGCAGTTAAATCACCCACTGGTCCCTTTCTCCCCCAGCCAGTCTTTTTAAGAACTTTGCTTGGGCTGTTTCGCAATGCACTTCCCCAGGGTGGCTCTTCCCTTGATCACAGAAAACAGAGCTGAATAAATAAAACTGGGGACTCTGGACTTTGTGCAACATCCAGGACACTCAATTCATGTCAAAAGAAGACTTAAAATTTTTTCTATTTTTACTTCAGATGAATTTTCTAATAGATCAGTTTTAAAGCACCATTCTCAGAAACCTACCAGCAACACACAGTTTTTTTTTTTTTTTAAAAAAAGTGTCAATAGCTGGGCATGGTGGTGTACGCCTTTAATCCCAGCACTCGGGAGGCAGAGGCAGGCAGATCTCTATGAGTTCAAGGCCAGCCTGGTCTACATAGTGAGTTCCAGGACAGCTGGGGCTACGGGGAGACCCTGCCT